TCCGTAAGTGACTGTGGAGGCCAATTATGGATCCACACGTCCTTCCACAGTGGGGACATAGGTTTCCAGGTGGGAGTTTTATATGCCCTTTTTAATTATTTAAATAATTTATAGAATGCATGAATGCTCTTTGAATAATCAGTGTTGTCTAATCTCCCTGCAAATAAAACAGGATGAATGGTCAAGAAACAGGTTGTCTTGAAGTTCCTGTCATTGGTGCTATAATAGTGCATTAGTGGCAGATTTAATAATGTCTCATCCACATATTGTTCTATAATAAATATGATAATAAATTTATACCCCGCCCTTCCTGGTTAAAAAAAATGGGCTCAGGGCGGCTAACAACAAGTTTAAAACACTTAATTGTAATACAACATAGAAGCAGCATATATAAAACATAGAAGCAGCACAATATAAAAGCATGAATAACAATAAAATTCAAAGTTCAAAAATCAATTTGGGGGAAATCCATCCAATAAATATTAGATAGTCACCAGGGCTAGCTGGCTGAATTAGTCCTACTTAGACCAGCAAGGAGGCCAGAGGAGAATTAGCTGTGGGGTCCCAGAGCAAGTTATCTTCATAAAAGGGAGGGGGAGGGAAGAGAAGGGAAATAAAAGATCAGGCTGAATTCAGATTAAAGGCCAGGCAGAATAGCTTTGTCTTACAGGCCCAGTGAAAGGGGGTTAAATCCTGTAGGGCCCTAGTCTCATGGGACAGAGCATTCCACCAGGTCGGAGCCATCACTGAAAAGGCCCTGGCCCTGGTGGAGGATAATCCGACTTCCTTAGGGCCTGAGACCTCTAAACTATGGTTATTCATGGACCTCTGCGGGGCATACCAGGAGAGGCGGTCCCATGAATATGAGGGGCCCTAAGCCACAAAGGGCTTTAAAGGTCAAGACCAGCACCTTGAACCTGACCCTATACTCCACTGGGAGCCAGTGCAACTGGTAAAGCACTGGGTGAATATGCTCCCATAGCAGGGACCCCGTGAGGAGCCTCGCTGCAGCATTCTGCACCCGCTGGAGTTTATGTGACAGTTTCAAGAGCAGCCCCGCGTAGAGCGAATTACAGTAGTCAAGCCTGGAGGTGACCGTCACATGGATCACTGTGGCCAGGTCGGGGCGGGAAAGGTAAGGGACCAACTGCTTGATGTGGTGAAGATGGAAAAATGTTGCCTTGGCTGTTGCTGTAACCTGCGCCTCCATGGAAAGGGAGGCGTCAAGGATTACACCCAAACTCTTAACGGAAGGCAATGGCACTAACTGGGCCCCCGCAAGAGAAAGGAGTTGGTTCCTCATCCCCATGCCATTCCGACCCAGCCAGAGGACCTCTGTCTTTGAAGGATTTCGTTTCAATCAGCTCCCACGAAACCATCCAGCCACAGCTTCCAAGCATCTGGTCAGTGTGTTCGGGGCCGAGTTGGTGTGGCCATCCATCAGCAGATAGAGCTGAGTGTCATCAGCATATTGGTGACAGCCCAGCCCAAAGCTCCGGATAATCTGGGCAAGGGGGCGCATAAAGATGTTAAAAAGCATTGGGGAGAGGATTGCGCCCTGTGGCACTCCACACACCAAGGATTGGCGACAACATCTCCCTCCCTAGCACCACTCCATTCTGAAGGAAATCAGCCCTGAGTGCTCACTGGAAGGACAGATCCTGAAGCTGAGGCTCCAAGACTTTAGCCCCCTAATGAGAAGAGAAGACTCCCTGGAAAAGACAAGGTGTCCTTCATTAATCCTTTTAGCTCTCTAGACACATTTCCTTCCGAATCTCCATATTCTCTCCTTTGAACACAAAGACATTTTCTATCAACAGAATGGCCCCCATCATTCCATAAAATATTGGCCTCAATCAGCATCTTGCTTTCTTTGCATGAAGTACACTACCTTTATTATTTCCTGTATGGCAGTGTAACCACAAGATCACTTACTGCCTTCCTTGTTATTTCTATTAGCATATTTAAAGTTGAGAGTTATAATCTCTGTTGTGCAGATGCAATCACATCTGGACTGTTTGATTTTTCAGCCTCCTAGCAGACACCTATTTTGTGTTTAGCCTTTTAGTTAGGTGGGTTGGATTTCTCCTTTTTATAAGCAAACAGTTTAAGTTCTTTTATTGCTGTTCCTATATTTGGTTTTATTTTATTTATTTATTTATTTATATCCCATTTGATTGTAAAAAAGAAAACCCCTCCAAGTTGTTTATAATTTTCCTGCACCCTACTTTGTAAGTCGTTTGAGTCATTTTCGTGTAAAAAGCAATGAATAAACTTAATAAATGAAGAAATCTCTCACAAATAAGAAAATACCAGATTGATTCTTAATTTGCTTAGAGAATAATCAGTGAGATCTACTGCTGAGATTACTATCAGGTTTAAAGACAGTGGCATAGCTGATATGTCTACTACATTTAGAATCTCAGTATTGCACCTTTCCTTGTTTCTGCATCTAGAACTTGTATCAGCATCTGCCACTAAATTTTCCCACTCCCCAGATGCCCTCCACATTCTGCTCCTCTTGTTGATACAAGAAGTATTGTACAAGTGGATTATAAGCTATGCCTTATATTTCCGCCCATTTCCCAGGATACTCTGACCTTTGCTTCTGCAGCTTAGCAAGGTTTCCTGCTCTCTTAAAAGATCCTTCTCCATTCTCCCTTGCTGCTACATATTTTATACCTAGAACTCCCTTCTTGAGTGCATACACCTCTCATATTTCAATTCTTGTTTTCGTGATACTTGTATTTAAAACCAACTCTCCTCCAATAAAACTAAGCCTACGTGGGAGAATGTGATGTCATTTGTTCACATTCATCCCTGGTTAAATTTATTTATTCCCCACAATCCTTCTTTCTTTCTGTTGTTGCCCCATCCACACTGGTTTACTATGTGTTTGCAGCCATTTGTACTCCCATTTAATTTGTATAGTCCACAAGACATTAACCACCCGCAGGCTCCAAACTGCTCCATTCAGGATCACAGGTTATTGTTTTGGTGATTTGGATGGGTGGATCAATTGTTACTAGTCCTCTTTCCATGCCCTCTACTTCCTCAATGCTTTAATTTATTTTCTGTCTGTGCTTGTAACTATTTTAAATACACTCCTAAGTAAAGCTATTAACATCCAATAGCTCCCAAATATCTCTAGGTATGTGTATGTCCTAGTATTTTGGGGTCTTGCTTCACCATTGAAGATGAAGCTGGAAGCCACAACCCTAAAATGTTCCACCTCTGTTATTCCAAGGATTTCGCTCTCCCCACCCCCAGTTATTTTTGTAAGTATTACATACTTTTAGGATGTACTAGTCCCAGAAGATAGATCCATCCCAGAATAGTGTTGAAAATATGGGCTGCAAGATACTTCTACACACAAACTTTTGAATTGGTCTCTAGTTATTGCTAGGAGAAAGATTTCCAAAGATTTCATACGCTAATCCCTATAAATGAAATATTTTGGCTACTGGGTTTTTACTTCCTCTTCAATAACAAAGATTATAAAACTGAATTGAAATTAAGTTACTTTTCTCCATCTTAATCCAAATAAACGGCCCTAAATAGCCTCGGCCCAGTATACCCGAAGGAGCATCTCCACCCCCATTGTTCAGCCCGCACACTGAGGTCCAGCTCCGAGGGCCTTCTGGCAGTTTCCTCCCTGCGAGAAGTGAGTTTACAGGGAACCAGGCAGAGGGCCTTCTCGGTGGTGGCACCCTCCCATCAGATGTCAAGGAAATAAGCAACTTTTAGAAGACATGTGAAGGCAGCCCTGTTTAGGGAAGTTTTTTAATGTTTGGTGTTTTATCATGTTTTTAATATTCTGTTGGGAGCTGCCAGGAGTGGCTGGGGAAACCCAACCAGATGGAGGGGGTATAAATAAATTGCTGTTGTTGTTATTATTATTATAAATAACTACAAATGCATTTTCAACTGTTCATCTTGAAAATACATTTGTTGCATAGTACTTAATTCCTATCAGCAAGGTTGCTGTCATTTTAGAAATGTGTGCCGAATCCTAGAATGTACCTGCCACATGAACAGTTGGGATGGAATACATCAGGTCAGCCTTACTGGAGAACTGGATCCGACACCTTTGCTACCATGTACAGATTTTCGAAATTCTGAAAATTCAGTATTTTGGCTGCGTTGCATAGTGCGACAATAGAAATTCTGTATATGCCTGTATGGAGGGCATATTGAGTTTAAAAATGTGCTAATTCGTGGGCACTGGGTTGTATTCAACTAACCCCCTTTCCTCCCCCTCCAGTTCTGCTTCGGAGGGTCGGGGCGCCCCCGGAGAGGAGAGGGGGGCTAAGTTCTTGCGCTGACGAAAGTGCCTGCCGGGAGCCCCCCTGGATGCAGCTGGGCCTCGGTTTCGGAGCTTAATGTTTGAGGGCATTTTCGGGTCGGGCCAGCTGCCAGGCACCATCTCCATCTCCGCGGCTTACGCGCCGGGGCTGAAGGAGTCCCGGGAAACCCGCGCCCTGCCCCGCCGGCCCCCGGCTCTCCATCCCCGCTTCTTTCCGCGGCCATTTGCTCGCCTGGCGGAGCGAAGGGACAGCGGCGCCAGGACCCGCTCACGCCCGGGGGGCCGGCGGGCGAGGGTGACCCTCGGGCGGACGCCGCGCACCTGCCGCGCTGGGGCTTCCCTTCCTCGGGGCCGGCGGGCGCGAGGTGGGCAGCGGCCGCCCAGGAAGAAGGCGCCCTTTCTCCGCGCTCTGGAGCGGAGCCGCGGCGCGAAGAAGAGGCCCGCCGCCTGCCCTCCTCTCTTCAGGCGCCCCGAGATCGCTGGGCGAGAGGAACCTCCGCGGCCTCCGCCTCGTCGCTTCTGAGGGAGGGACGGGGAGCAAGGCCTGCCTCGCCGTTCCATTGGCGCCGGCGCCGCTCTGCCCGCCCCGCCCGCCCGCCCCGCCTCCGTCCCGCCGCCGCCGCCGCCGCCGCCGCCTGGGCGAGAGCAGCCGCGTCTGTCTGCGTGCGCCGCCGGCCTCCCTCCGCCGCTCGCCATGGCCCGCGCGGGGGCCGCCTCCTCCCCCGCGCCGCCGCCCCCGCTGCCCGCCTTGCCCCTGGCTCGGGAGGCGGCGGCGGCGGCGGCGGAGGAGGACGAGGAGGAGGAGGAGGAAGACCCCCCGTCCCGGACCCTGGTGCCCCGCTCCTCCCCGGTGCCCAGGCCCCAGCACCCCGCCGCCGCCGCCGGCGGGGGAAGCAGCTCCTCCTCGGGCGACGAGGACGAGGAGCAGCAGCAGCAGCAGCAGCCCGAGCAGCGCCCGCCCCCTCGCTTGCCAGGGCCCCTCTGCCCGCCGCCCCCGGCTGGCCCGCTCTCCCCGCATGGCCAAGGGCAGCAGCCCCCGCAGCATGTCCCCGCCACCGCTGCCATGGAGGAGCCCGCCCAGAACGCTGCAGGCCGGCACGTGCTCTTCGCCGATGCCCTGGGCCTGCCCTTGGCCCGCTGGCGGCGCTATCAGCCCTGGCCACCACCATCTCCGGAGTCCCCCCCTGAGGTGGTGCCCCCCTTGGCCTCTTCCCAGCCACCCTCCCATCCTACCCCCTACTTTCTGCCCTCTTTTGTGTTGCAACCGGCGGGGCAAGGTGAGGAGGAGAAGCTTGGGCGCCTGCGCCAGGCCAAGGTGGAGCTGGAAGAGCTGCTGCCCCCAGAGCCAGGGGAGCCCCGGGTCTTGCGTGGCACCGTGCGGGTGCTCAACGTTTCTTACCACAAGGCTGTGCACGTGCGGGCCAGCCGAGACCGGTGGCAGAGTCACCGGGACTACGCTGCCCTCTATATTCCAGGGGGTTCGCCAGACGGGGGCCTGACGGACCGCTTTGCTTTCCGCCTGGAATTTGGTGATGAGGATGAGGAAGAGGAAGAGGAAGGAGGGCCCCGGCTTGACTTTGTGGTGCGCTACCAGACCGAGGAGGGCGTCTACTGGGCCAACAATGACGGCAGGAACTACAGTGTGGTACTGAAGGGGGCTGCACCTTCCCAGGGTGTGCCCAAGAGGTCTGGCAAAGAGGGCGAATCACGAAGACTCAAGAGCTGCATGAGGCCAATCAGAATCAGGTAATGCCCCTCAGTGTTCTATGTGCCCATTTCCAAAAGCTGTTGGCACCTGTACCCAATCCATGGCCTGGAGCTTTCTGCTCTCACATCCCTCATGAATCCACTAGATACTACTCTGCTCAAAAGAGGGGGTTGGAACCAAAGTTTCTTGCTTCCTTAGCCCTGTGAGAAATCGCTCAGCCCCTTTCAGGATAGAACGTCTTGCCCAGCAGTATTGTTTCCCAGTTTGCTTGGACCCTTGTGCAGTAACCTCTAATATTTGCGAATTGGAGATGCTCTTTTAGGTCACAAACTTCCTTTTGAAGAGAGGGACTAGCTACAGTTTTATTTTTTTGCTAAAAGGAAACATAAAATATATCGTGTATTAATTTAAGCACTAAGTAGGCTTGTCTCAAAGGCTCTCCTCCATCTCTGAACTGCTTTTAATGGGTCCCTTTTTCCTCTTTGTCTCTCACTTGTACCAATGATTCTTTAGTGTAATATGGGCATCCCTAGGGGAGGTGCAAATAGTTGTCAGAGAAGGTGTCAGCTTGGTTTTGGCCCCTCCCAGATAATGCCTTAGGGTATTTTCACACATGGCCCTAAAAACACCATTGAGTTCATATTTTAATGTTAATGTGTAGAATGTGGAAGAGAACCATTTTAAGGCAAACATGTATACTAGTTACTGTTGGTTTTGCATACTGATTACAGAAAAGCAAGGTCTTTTCAAGGCAGTTCAGTACTTAGATGTGGCAGGCATGATCACTGCACACACTGGTGTTTGTCACTTGTAGATAACATACAGATGTTTAAAGTCATCTGTACAGATGTTTAATCTAATACACATTAATTTGTCAATCTTGGTTGGTCCATGTTTTTTAGGCCTTGTTCTTGCTTTGATGTTAAATCTATGTGTGACTTATACCACTTCAGACTGAAGATGGAGGCTCATATGAACCATCACCACCCAACTGTTCTTCCCTGTACACATGTCATTGTTTGCTGATAACCCAAAATCTGCTACCTAAGGTGATCAGCCATTTGGTAGGCTGAAGCCAATTGCTTCACATAACAGATTTTGTGGTATCATTAAGGGATAGTGACTTTTCAGTTATATTTTTACCACTATACTAGAAGGGCATTGCTTGGATTTTACTGTAGGAAATGATGGTGTGTGTATGCACAGGTGTCGCCCCACTTACATGGGGGTTACATTCTGGGTCCCACCCCCATAAGTGAAATCATGTAAAGTGGGAAGCAGCCTCTAAATGCTGATTTCCTCCTCTCCAGCTCTCTCTCCCATTCTCTCCAATCCAGACCAAAATATTTAGGGGCTGGAGGATGCGTGAGAAAGTGGCTGTTGCTGTAGCGCTACCCCTCACATCAGCTGTTAGGTGAGGAGGCTGAGCAGCGTAAACAAAGCCCTGCTGCTGCTCCGGTCTCTTTGGGGCTTCCTCTGCCCTCCCTGACATCCTCTTTGGGCTCTGGGGAGAGTCTCCTTGCAAGCCACAAGGACTTTCCAGCTCTCTCCTACCATTTCCTGGTGTGATTCGATTCTATCTATCTATCTATCTATCTATCTATCTATCTATCTATCTAATCTATTTATTTATTTATTTATTCATTTATTTTCTTGGCACCATGTGTATACACAGTTGCGCATGAGTAGAATGTGTGTAAGTGGGGAGATGCCTGTAACTTCAAGTTTAGCCTTTAGTGGCTTGTGTGAAAACCAACTTACCTGAAGAACCCAGAGCCAGCACTACCCCACTTTGTTAAGTACTATAACAAAGTAGACTGTGACAGACATTGTGATCACCACCACTGCTGAGTATACAAACAGAATGATAAACAGTTCTGTGTTCCCCCTCCATTTCCTTCCTTTGTTGACTTAGTTTTCATGAAGAACCCAGAGAACTTCAGGTTTTTGTTTGTGGTAGACAGGCAAAAACTACTGAGGCATTTCAGGGCTACTGTCCATTTAATTACACATTTCCTGTATTTTATTACTTCCCGTTGATCAACAGAAAGCAATAAAGCAGGACTTGCAAATGGGATACTTTATTAACATTAGACAGAACCTTTGCTGACTGGGACAGATTTGTGAACAAATGTGGTGCAAGAATATTGTCCATGGGAAAGGCCATTGCAGGATATTAAAACACTGCATTAAATGTGATGTGTAGCCTTTGTCTTAATTCCTTTTTTAAGCTAATAATCAAAATTTTAATTGGACCAAAGGGCTCCAATCTGGAAGCAACCCTCACACACTCTGTTTCTCTGTGGTGTTTCAGAAGGCACTTCCACTTTGCCAAAGCCTTCAGACGCAGGATAGAGTAGCAAGCTGGAAGAAGATAGTGCTCTTGTACCTTTAATAGTTGTACAGAAGAGGAGATTTCAGCAGATGTTCCTTGAATGACAAGCTATACCTGCTGAAATCACAGGGGTGTGAAAGTGTAGAATTCCTATCCTATTTTTTTCATTTGTCCCTGCTATAACAGGAGGAGGAAGAAGATGGCTGGTTAAACAGGGAAACCACAAGGGGTGGGGGAAGCAACAACTCTAGAACTGAAGTGACAGGCAGCCTGTTCCCTCAGTTGTGGGCCTGGAGAGGGAGCAAAACGCTCCCACTACAGGGGCCAAAAACAATTCCCTTGACTTGAAGCAAGGTTTCCCTGTGAGTAACTATCTGCTCATGACTAAGGGTCTGCTCACAAGCAAGTCAAGGTAGCAGGGACTGGGTGTGACTGGTCTGGGGAGAAGAACATGGGAGTAGCCAGATTTTTTGTTGCGGGGCAGGCTTTTGTTAGGGCGGGGCAGAACCTCAGTTAGTTAAGTATTTTTATTGATTTTTATTGATTTGGGGGGCAGCTTCCCCCCTGGCTATGCCCATGGAGAAGAAGGGGAGACCGAGGAAGAAATTCTGCAACTAGAGAGAGGTGGAACCCCTTTCCTGCTGGCTCGGGCCAAAGAGGCTTCAACCATCTCCTTGCTCCCTCGCATTGTCCTTTTAGCACTTTGGGAACAGTACAGAAATGCAGAGGCTTCTTGGAAATCTTCAGGGTTATTGTGATGTGTGAAGTCTAACCATTTTGATCTGTTGTATGTTCCCTGGATAATGACAAGTGACTTGCCTATTTTTTTTTGTCCTAGTTATATCTGGGAAAGCACAAGCAGTTGTTTTTCTTGCCTTGGGATAGGTTCACAATGTTTGTGTTCCCTTGAGCTATGTCTTCTAAAAAGTGATGGTAATACAGTGGTACCTCGGGTTACATACGCTTCAGGTTACATACGCTTCAGGTTACAGACTCCGCTAACCCAGAAATAGTACCTCGGGTTAAGAACTTTGCTTCAGGATGAGAACAGAAATCACGCGGCGGTGGCAGCGGGAGGCCCCATTAGCTAAAGTGGTGCTTCAGGTTAATTCGGACCTCCGGAACGAATTAAGTTCTTAACCCGAGGTACCACTGTAATTAAATAATACTTATTTCTAAAAGTATGGAGAAGGATGAACATGTGGTATCCATCTTGAGCCTTAGGATAGAAGAAGTGATTATTTGTCCAAGGACAGTGGTATCTAGAAATACAGGATCTTGGTGAACACATAAAGCATGGGAACTTAAAGAAGAAGAAGAAGAAGAAATGGATTGATTTTTGCATTTTATTCAGTGCTAGCATGATATGTGACATTTCACAAAGCATAAGGGTCCCTGCACTGAGGAGTTTTCAATCTGAAATTCAGCATAGGGGAAACAACCGGGGGGGGGGGGAGTGGAAGCATGGGGTAAACAAATAACATGCCATTGTTTCAGTTGTAGATGCTTTGACTTAGTTACAGACTGAGTTACAGAGGGCATGGGAACTAAGGAATTGTGCCAAATGCTTCATGGAAAAGATAGATTTCGAGAATGAATTTAGGAGACATAAAAGGCATCATACAGGTGTTCTGGGATGCAGGTCCAAGCATATGGGACAGGAAGGGAGAGTTTTGTTGTTGCAAGAATTTGTAGCAAGCACTTTGACTACTTTAAAAGCACTATGTGAAAGACTAACTTCTATTATTAAACATTTTAAAGCATTGGCAACTTGATTGATGTTTTGCATATCCCATTGGTATTTATGTAGTTGGCTTGGAGGGAAAGAGTGTTGAGATTATTGGGAGTAGGACGGATGAAGGGCAAGGGTTCATAATGTTTTCTTTTTATTATTGCAAAAGTATTTTTCTTCTAATAAAGTAAAAAACAAAATTATAAATATTTTTATCAAAATATTTAAAATGAATATTAAAAGATGCATGTGCAGAGGGAAGAAGTAAAGACAAAATGCTTGAAACTTGTTTTATTTGCAGCCTCAGATGGAAGCATGTAATCTTTGTGTTCTCTTGACTCTACTGATGATAGTATATAAAGTGAGCAGATGGTATCAGTGGAAATCCCCCACCACCCTTCACCTGCAGGATTGTATTCTATTTGTAAATGCTTTCTCAGGTGATATTTCTTAACTAGGGTGGAAACGATTACAGAAACATGCTCTGTTCTGTGTCTCATGTTGTAGACTGAATCTGGGTGAAGACAGATAACATTTTAACAATGATCACAGCAACCTCTTCACTAGTGGGGTGTAACTTACCTTAAGTGCACATATACCATTAAGTTGAATGCTGGATTATTCTCCCTTCCCCTCATGCTTCAGACAGCTATCTACTTTTCATGTTTTTATGTTCATCTTTCACATGAACTCTCCTTTCTTGGAGGTTTTTAAGCAGTGTTTGGAGGGGCATCAGCCATGGATGCTTTAGCTAAGATTCCTGCATTGCAGAGGATTGGACTAGATGACCCTTGGGGTCCCTTCTAACTCCACAATTCTATGATTCTATTCCTCTCCCCGCCTCCCAAATAATCTAACAACGTTTCAGATTTGCTCTGTAGATGGAGGAGAGGTTTATTGGTGAGGTCATGGACGCTTGTTAATAATTTTCCCCCGTTGCAAACTAAAGTATAATGAAAACTTGCAGAACC